TGCTTAGCAGCAGGAACACAAAGAAACTTTGAGTTACAGCTAATGTGGTCATCTCAATATTTGTTTGTCATGTTATGCCATCACTGTAATATTGAACGTAGAATGATTTTCTCACTCCATGCAGGCTTGTTTCTGGCAATAGGATTCATCAGACAATACTACTTTCATTCATTCAAAGAGTTTTATGGACCCGTCTCGTAAAATGTAACATGCAATAAACCTGTGAGATCACTTTCGCTGCACAGTGTGCCTTAGAGACATTAAAGCATGTAACCCCAATAACTCTAACAAGTCTCTCCCTGCAAGACTCTGTGATCAGTGGAGTAAGTACATATCACTATCACTTTGCAGTATGTCTGCTAGCAGATCATATAGGTTGAGTCTTTTCTAAACGAGAACGAGAATGAAAAACCTGATTTCCCCTCACCTTTAGCTGCACTGCTGTTAACAGATACTCTCTGTTCCACTGCAGTTCTAATGCTTTTTTCCAGTTGATTAAGAACTCTGGAGTGAGGCAGGGGTTGTAAATGCTGCACTAGATCTATGCATTTAGACTAAAAGGGTTTTAAAAACAATTGGACTATACAAAGGCATGTTTACATTAGCCTCTGTTAGGCTTTAGGTGTTAGAGGCTCCCTTAAGTATTTGATGCATTAGTGTGAATGCTGTTCTCCTACCAGTGCATTTCTAATCTCTGGCTTTCTCACTATTTACTCTTCATGATGTCTTTCTTCTTTTCTTAAGCGTCTCTATCTCTCCCTCATTCAGTCTCTCGTCAATCACTGAATAAAAAATATATACCCTGATGCGACAGGATTTCAGCACTTGTGGCTAAACAAGGGATGAAGGAGAAGAAAAGATGTGAATCACTTCAGTACATGACCTTGTTAATTACTTTGAACAAGTTGCTGAAGTCTGAACTGTAACCTAATTTCTCAGATAAAGAAGGACAAAAACTCAACCAAAGCCACTCAACTGTAATCATTGTATAAAGTCTGTATGAATAAAGCATGAGAGTGCTGCCACAAGGCATCTGAGTTGGCTGTAAAATCACAGACAGAAACTTGAAGGATTTTTTTGTGCAACATGTGTTTTAGGAGCTGGAGATACATCAAGCATTAAGCAGCTACAAATATAAATAAGATCTAATAATACTCAAACATTTTTGATTCTCTGCTAGGAACTTTAAACAGTGACCACAATGTGACTCATCACTTTGGGCATTCAGTTAAGCGCTTAAAAGAGCTCTGATGAAGTGAAGCGCTTAGAATTGCTATATGGCACTTTGAAATGTTGGTAGTGATTTCAAGAAATATATATGCTGGTGCTTTGGAAAAGGGGCCTGATGTTGCACACCTCACATAATAATCACACGTTCACTCTGGTCATTGGATTTTCCAGATTGATTTGACAGGAAAAGGTATAATTTAATACAGTTTCATGTCCCTTGAAGCGACTATGACTAAGATAGTCAAGAAAGAAACATCAGACTATTTGGACCTACCTCACATCATAATCAACTATTTCACCACACCGGGCTTTTATTTACCTTGGCTTAATCCATAGACTCAAATTAAATGGAGCACATTTTATCACTCTGTCTCCACAAGTTATCAACACACCTTATCATTGAAATGTCAGTGCACTACTTTACAGGCCATCATTTCTTAATCGTACATACAAAAATATGTGCAAAGTCCACTGTCAGGTCAAGAACCATGCAAATAGAATTCTGTTCCCTCGACCCTTCCCTCCACCACTAACCTCTTTCTTTAAAATAAACAAAATTTGAGTAAACACACAGACTCCAACATGAGCCTGCATGTTACACCAGACACTGGTGAGGCAGAGCCTGTCAGACGAGAGGCGGGGCCCACAAACATGCAGCTCGACCAGCTGCTCCTATAGACCTTCAACTGATGGATTTATTTACATTAAGGCATTAAGAGTGTGTGTGTGTGTGTTTGTGCAGAGGGTATAGGTGAAGACACACTGAACGCGGTTTTAACCTGTGTGTGTATGTGTGAGAAAGCTCTCAAGCATGCAGATCTAAATGGCTCTAATGTCTCTGACTCTTATTTCATAAGAGAGAGTGGAAAACTCAGAGTCAGCATGCTGGCATGAGAAGAGCCCGTGCTGGAAGCCGATCAGGACACACATCTGCACACACAGCTACAGAATGTGTGTGTGTGTGTGTGTGTGTGTGTGTGTGTGTGTGTGTGTGTGTGTGTGTGTGTGTATGTGTAAGCACAGAATCAAGTGTGTGTATCGGAGCAGGAAGGAGAAAGGTAAAGAGTGCAAGAAAGACACTCCAGAAGCCAGCAGAGCCAGAGAAAGATCTTCTCTCTAAACGTGATCTTTGTGGAAAATCTCTGCTTTGCAGCATTCCTCATGTATGTGCACGCACTGGCATGTAGCAGTTTGTCTCTGATATTAGACCAAATGGCTGCTAAGAACAATTTTACCCCCCCCAAAATTCAACTTTTTCATCCAAGCAGCTACTGGTCAGCAATAAATAACTGGTTGCTATGGTTGTTCATTTCAGAAAAATATAATTCAGCCACATGTTACTTGTCCTGAATTGGATTTAAATGATTTACTACAGGTTGAATAGTTACATATTGAGTGCTTAAGGCTGTGGAGTCCAATTCTGTTCAAAATAGTTAATAAAACTTACCTCCAGCCCACATGTTATTTTTGTGCAGAATGTTCTTCTATCATGTGCTCACAGTCCTGCTGTTTCTCCCTCTATCAGACACACACACACATACATATCCTAACCTTAGTGCACCTGTATGTGTGTAAAATCTAATGGCTTCCCAAGCTCTCAAAGGGTATAGAGCATCACGGCTGTATTTAATGTTTTATGTGGGAGTGCAGCGAACACGAAGAAAGAATCCGTCGGAACTGATGTCTTTTAAAACTCTTCGCCTCATCTATTAAAACATCTCTTCCTGCAGGCAGCCACCTGGTGAATGCTTTAATGGCTGCCATTAGGCATGTCCCTCATTGTGCTTTTCCTCTATATTAGTACCTACTGAGCAACCTTTACAATAATAACTACTGTTAAAAAGTGCTCGCAGGTGACTATTAGGAAACTTTGCAGCCTTAGAGAGAGAGGTTTGATATATATGTGTCATATCAGGCATGTAACACAGACTCACAGGTTTTCTGATTGTCTCTAAATTGGCCTCTGAGCTAATATCTGCTGGACAAATTAAACGTGCAGGATTGAATCAGCTATTTAGATCAAATGATTACATGGAACCCTCACATTGATGTCAGACAAATACAAAATATCAGAGCTATGTAAATGAGACTCAACAGTGCAAGAAAACTTTTTATACAGTAATTAAGTACCTCAGGTCAGGGTGACATCTAGGTGCGGGACTAAATATTGATATGGCAAAATGTCATTGTCCTGACTTGTCTCATACAATTATCAAAACATTGGTGCTAGATAAGAATTGTTATTATTATTATCTCAGTACTCTCAACAGATTTCTCTGCCAATATGACCTGCTTAGTTACCGCTTCATGACTCCTCATGGAGGCGTTTGTGACATGAGTGAGGGTAATGTAAAAGGAAATGAATTGGCCAAAGAATAAGTTGAGAGAAGGAAAAAAAGAAGATGGAGGATAATGTTTGACAGCCGTAAATAGTCATTAGGAGATGAAGCGTGACATTAATCATCAATCCTGCATTTTACCTTTTTCGAGGTGTTTTATTTTCTTCAGTTAAAAAGATGACGTGATTTCTGTATCGCGATATTAGCGTCGCAGAGGGCCTCGTATTGTGTATTGTACTGAGTGGCCGTGAGATTCCCAGCCCTACTTTAAGCAAAAACTGTTTCTCACTATTTCTCACTTGATCACAATGTGCTGAACTTTCTGATATTAAACAGAAGAGGAGCAAAGGTGATATACAAGGTGCACCGCTGTGCATATCGCTGATGAAGAGCAAACTGTCAAAGCTGACATGAGATCCTCTAAAATGAGAACAATGCTGATGCCATAAGAACAAAAATGACAAACTACTCATAGAGTAAATACAGGCACAACAAGAGCTTTGTATTTAGTTTTGCAGCCTGTAAACTTCACAGTTTTCATTACAAGGCGACTGGACTCTGTTTGCGATGTGGAAACATTGAATGTCATTGATTTAATCGGTTAATATAAATGTATTTCATCCAGTGAGAATCCTAAACATGAGCTTATGATTCAAGTGCCTTAAAAACAGAAAAGACAGATTAAGATGCTTCTTTTTCTCTGCATCATAATCATGTTAATTCAAACTACATCAAGTGAATCACTGGTTTAGAACAATAAAGTTTAAAGGTATCATCTCAAACCAAACTTCACATGAACACTTGTTTAATTTTGGGGAGTTATTTGTCCAATTCTTAAAAGTACTCATACACAAAATCATCATATATGCTCTCCACGTTTCATCGATTAACAGTAATACAAACAGACATCTTGTGACTGATAACACACGAGTATGTCAACAATTAAACAACTCTGAGTTCAACTTAATCATCATTTAAATGTTTGCATTCCTGTTTCATATGAATCGCATGATTCTTTTCATACGACTAAGTTGTGTTATTTATCATTGACATAATGCTGCTTTCTCTGCCTGTCACAACAGGAGGAATAACAAGGCTTCATCCAAACACACCAACCATGGCTGTCACTTCATCCGATCCCCCTGCTGGGTGTCTCACTACTCGTGCTAAACCAAGTTCCAGCCGCATTTTGGATATAAAACACATCACGTCGCTTTCTTAAACTGGGATACTAACTTTGCACATTGTATGAAGCGGTAGGCTACATAACCAACCCCTAACCCACCGAGCAGCTGAAGTGTAGAAATAAACGTCATGCAATTTGAGCAAAGTTTTACCGAGTCGTGTGTACGCTGCGTAAAATGTGGAGTTCGGGACAAACGCAGTTCACGAGTGCATCGCACGCTGAAAAAAAAACAGAAGAGCACTTACTTTAAGTGAAGGGAACTCTCGTGTTGAAAACTGCAAGGCTCGACTTTCAGAACTTGTTCATCTGGTGGCCAACGTGAGCACACAGCAGCGGTGAAAAGTCCTGCTTTCGGTGTGCTCGTCCCAGAACGATCGATCGCTCCGTCCAGGGTTTTCACATCACCTACGCATTGGATCCGGTCTGTGTGGCTTTGCGTTACAAATCGTGTTGTTAGATCTGTTGCTCAGATCATCATCAAGTCTTCTTTGGGGGGCTACACACACTACGTAGCCGAGGCAGAGCCTGAGTGTGTGTGTGTGTGTGTGTGTGTGTGTGTGTGTGTGTGTGTGTGTGTGTGTGTGTGTGTGTGTGTGTGTGTGTGTTTCCAATGGCGGTGAAGCGCCCTCATCCGCCAGCAATCTAATCCAGCCTCCATTATAGCCCCAGTCAGACTCCTGTGCCAGACCTCCAACTTCAAACCACCTTGTAAATGAGCCAACACGCTGTTTGGAAAGAATAGACGTTCAAATGAAGTTTCGATTAATCTCTTCATTTGTCTATTTACACAGGAACCTGAATCATCCAATAAAGCCACAACTTCAATTAAAATGTTTTTAAAAAAAAAGTATAAAACCAACGAGGTGATAACAAATGTAATGCTTGGTATAAAGGTATCAAGCAATCTTTTCTCTCTTTATTTAACTTATTATTGTTTGGTTTTCTGACAGTAGCCCACCAGGACTTTATTCTTCCAATATGAGACATAAACAAGAAAGTTTTATAGTTGGATTAAAAGAGATCTGTTAGGTCTGTATTGGTTATTTAAGGTTATAGACTATCCTTTTTTGCGGATTCAATCATTTAGTGCATTGATGCATTTCTCACAATGTTTTATTTCTCCATGCATAAGGGAGCAGTTTGTGAGTTTGTGCTTCAAATTTATTCATCAACTTAAGTCTTCATACTGCTCGTACCTGTATTTATTTCAGATAGGCCTTTGCTTAATTGGCATTTATACAATTAGCCAACCTTTGGTCAATAATACGCCCCTTTTCTGTTTCTGTATGCAAATGACTTGCACATAGAACCATTTGCATGACATATTTTTAGTAGGAGGGGTTGGTGTGTGCACAGTAATGATTTCAATTAAAAACTTGTCATGGATATTTGCAACAGGATAAAAATGTACCACATGCTCCATGATGATAAAGCGTGCAGCATGACTGAGGTTCTGATGAATCTAAACTGCAACACTGGGGAAATAAAACATGCAGACATAGCCTATAGTGTTAACTTCTACATGACATTATTGATGCTTCAGGTTCACATAATGTGTGTGTTCTCCCTTTCTGCCTCATCTGCTGCTTCCATCTCCTCACCAACTTGGGTTTGAAGCCTGTTTTTTTTTTTTGTTATTCGCTTTTTTTTTTTTTTCCTGACGTCGATGCCTCTGCTTGCCAAACGCACTTAATAGGCTATGTGATGGCTATGAGCGCCTGGCGCACCTGCGGCGCATTTGGATAGGGATGAAAAGAGAAGCCCTTCTTCACTTATCATAGTCTGATTTAATGTTAGAGGCTCTAACAATCGTGGCCACTCGCTCTCACTTCATTTAACCACAGGATTCTCTAGCAGAATATAATTCATCTTCATCCACGCAGAAACTTACAAAATGATCAGGTTCAGAGAATAGTTTATTCATCCTCGTATGGGCACTCAATGATATTGTTACACACCTTATCTGATATCAACCTACATCACCTTAATGTTAATTAAAAAAAAAAAAAGTGTTCATTTCAGCATTTTTGCACTCCTCACCATGCACTATTGTCTTATTTAGTCATCTATTAGTCTTTGTTTATTGTTAATTACTTATGGGAAGCACAGTCTAACAAAGCCTTTTTTTCTCGCTCCATTTGTGGAGCTAGTCAATAAAGCTGATTGAAAATTGGATTCTGATATTTAACGAGCTACACTGATATTCACAGTGTTTCAGTCTGGCCTGTGATGAATAGCTGCGCCTGTCCGAAAGCTGCAGCCTACTTTGGCTCACGTGGAGGGTCCACTGGAGAAGTGACGCCGTGAGAGGCTCGCCCAGAATTTCAGCTGTAAGTGGATCTACACCCCCGACCCAAGAGCCATCAATTACTATGGACGGCCCGCCCCAACACGTGAGTGAAAAACACACCCACGACGAGGCCCAGCTGTTGCAGCTTGAATGCAGTTTTTCCTGCACATAAACTCCGTGTGCGTGCGTGCGCGCGCGTGTGTGTGTAGTATGCCTGTCTGCGTGGACGTTGTGAGTGTTTTTGCTTCGCTTGGCTTTTATTCCATGGTCCTTCAGATATAAACATCAGCCAGTGCTAATACATTACTCGTAACATCCGAGCCTAAGCAACAGAAAGTGATTTTGCTCTAATTCATCCTGCCACAATGAAATCAGATCATACTGTATGTCAACCTGTAAAAGTAAATTAAACCCTGTGCTGTTAGATAACAACAAATACATTAGCCTGTAGCTTCTAATACACCAAACTCATGGACAACAAGGAAGTGAAAAGAAAACATGTTTTACCAGAATGTTTTAATAAAATGCTCTAATAGAGACTAAACAGGAACACAGACGGAGAGATGTACTGTCAAAGACACATATGAGGACTCAAGGCTCTATTCTCTTGGCCCAGTGCCTTTTTTCCTGTCTGCCAATGTACTGTTGACATAATTTGTGATGCGTTGGGAAAGAAATGGAATTGGCCTGTCTGTATTGAGCCGAGCCATCCTCGTATTTTTATATCCCTGTCCCTTTCTCGCTTACTAGGTCCACGAGTTACGGCCTGGCTTTGCCATGTTGTCTGGTTGCAGTGAGCAACATAAATATTGCAAATTGCACAAGTAGCAGAGGACAAAGATATAACCGAGATATACTGTTTTAATAAAGTTGAGAGGATTTGTGTGCCTTCTTTCAGTGTGCACAAAGATTGTTTGGATCTTTTTTGATGTTTAAATAACTAGTGTTTTGAAGCAATGCTCAAAATATATTATTTGCTGATGTTTTTGTAGACTTGGTGCACTATGCAGTGTTATTTACCGGGATTAAAAAAAAGAAAGAGGTAAACAATTAGTATTAGATGACCCCTGAACATGGCTATGCAGCACAGAGTGCTCTGATTGGAGGATAGCGGGGGCGTCCATTGAATTAGTTCCTTTGTTGTGGAAAACTCATTCCTGTGATTGTCTGCTCTGAGTGATCATGTGGACCTGTGCTGGATTGAATGTGACAACAGAACAATGCATCTGGCCGACAGCTTGTGCCTGCAGAGGAGGACCGGAGCTGGGTTTCTCCTCAATGACACCCCATCGAGGGATGCTCTGTGAATAGTCTGGTGTTGATTGTTACAGGAGCTATTGTCATAGAGTAATATTTTGATGACTATTTTATTGATGTTATCTGTTATTATTGCAGAAGTTGTCATTGGGGAGTTTTAATTCACAGACAGAATGTGCAGTGGTTTCATTTTAAGTGACACAGTGCTTTTGCCCGTAATATTTCTTGTGACATAATAACCCATGCTAAGCATAGAGCTGCTGGGATTCATACTTGTCCAATATGAAATGATCAGATTTAGCAATGTGTGAGTCTATAAAGTTTTTTTACTTTTCCAGTTCTGATTTTTCTCATATGCACAAAAACTCTTGAAGATTTCTGCATGTGTGAACGCAAATGGTCAGTTTTCCTCTGACTTTTTCATCCACCTAGTAAAATGTTTTTGTATGAAGCCATGGTGATCTGATTTGTGAATGCAGCAGGAAATAGTCTGGAAAATCCACCATGAGCGAGCGGGAGGGGGTGATTACGAGTGAGTTATACCGGTGAGGGTGAGAGACTGGTGTGATCTTAGTGCACGTACTGAAGCACCTTCATACTCTTTTCTGATCACCAATATGCTCTCCTCCACTTTTTAGTTGATTCTGTGGAGATGTCCAATAACAGGCGGCATTGATATAAATGCGAAAAAAAACGCCTGATCTTGCATAGCCTGTCATCTTGGTTATCTTGTAAACATTACGGCAGCCAGCAGTGTCGGTAAAGGCTTCACGCTGCACGCTCTAAGGATAGGAGTGTGAACAACAACTTTGTACATTTTCAGGCTGACCTTGAGTTCTCTTTACATTTTCAGGAGTGCTTATGTGAAAACAGCTTCAGACTCTCAGTCTCAAGGTCTGTTGCTCTCGACTGAAGAGGAAAAAAAAAACCCAGCTCATATGTAGTTTTATTAAAAAATGAATACATGAAAAAGCAGAATCATTTCCCAAAGCAGCTGGAGACTGTAGCTTTTAGTTCACATTAGTCCCTGAAGTAAAGACTGTATTAGTTGGGGACTATTTTCAGCAGGAAGTTAGTAATTACAGCAGAGGGACAGCGCATGTGGGATCAAATCAAGAAAATAGCTTAAAAGTAGCTCGTCTTGTGTTTGAAACAACAATCAAGGTCTACAGCACAGAAGCTAAATCAGAATCATAAAATACTTTATTAATCCCAGGGGGAAATTCGGTTGTTAAAGCTGCTGTTAAACACAATAAAGAAGGAAATATAGAAATATATAATGAAAGAATAAAATAGAATAGAAATAACAGAATAATCATTAAGTACCAAGTGAGAGTATCTGAAGCATAATAAGCTACGTACAAAGCACAAGGAGTTTAATTTATGAAGGTATAATTTATAAAGGTATTTCAGGCTTCAGCTGATGGGTTGAAAATGTAGGCAGGAGTAACTCGTTCTTTTTGTTCGGCTTTTATATGTAATGGGATTTGTTGGAAATCAATCAAAACACTTCTTTTATCTGTTATTTCCGGACAACGCATAGTTTTCATCAGAATGAAGGCTTTAATGACTATACAACACTTTTAATGGTTGTTGTAAGAAACTGTTTCCTATGTGAGCAGAATAAGAGCCAGAGATTCTCTGCAGTAGTACGCCTGCCGGTGGCCATGTAAAAATCACTTTCTGTTTGTCTGTCTGTTTTTATTTTGCAGATAATGAAAGAGTGGCCTTTGTGTCATCCCCTTTAGATCACCTGTAATGCATTTACTGCAATTTCACATCCTATGCGTGGCCATTCACAACTAAGTCAGCACCCTGCTACCTATTGGATTAGGACACAAGTGGATAAGGCTTTAGGGGGAATACACACACACACACACGCACACACATGCATGTGCACACACATACACACACACACACACACACACACACACACACACACACACAGAAAATAACAACAACAGCATCAAATATAAGGACGGATCACTGTGCTCCTGGTTCCATATCTAC